CTATTTTATTTTATTATATTAGAAATTTCCATAATTTCAAATGCATACAAGATAATCAAATATTTTTTGAATGTTCTTTTGGAAAAAATAATAGGCCGATTTGTTCCCAATGGTCTTCGATGGCAACCATCTTTGTTAATTTTATTATCGATGCACATCAATTGTATGCAGGTTACAGGAATTTCATTGCTCCAGGCATAGTAAAACCTTGTTGGGTTTTCCCCTTATTGGCTTCTGGATCGTATTCTTTTGTTGCATACCAGAAATTGGTGGTGGCACCAAAACAATTTTTGATTTTGTCACATAATTTAGAGTAAGTTATGTTGTGTCCTTTTTCTTGTTAAAATGCGTTTTTAATTCATATTTTATTCGTTGTGCCTGTAGTGTTGAAATCCGTTATTTCATAGTTAATAATACATTTGTAAATAAACTCTGTATATGGTGTTTTATATCGAGTTTTATTCGCTCTGTTAAAACCAAAATTTTGAGAAAAAAATTGCTCGTGATTTCACGGCAAAAATTTCGTATTTTTTTTGTGGTAAACAAAACTGAAAAATAAAAAAACAAATTCTGATCAAATCAAATTATTTCTATGTGCTAACAATTATATAAATTGTTTACATGTTCTAAAATGAACTTGTTCACTTTTCTCTGATTTTGGTTAGATTTTGTCGCCCATGAGTTGTACGGTTGAGCAATAATGTAGGAAATTAATTATTTTTTGATAACAATACTGGCTTTATATTCGACTGCTAATTTTTTGTGACAACAAAAGACATTTAGCAGTGTCTTTCCACGTTCTACCTTAGGTCAAATATTTGTTGGTATTTTCAGATGTTACTAACTTATTCAAGGTTAAAATAATTAGTTTTCATTTTCTTGGTATTTTATTGTTAGAACTAAATCGAGTAGTGAGAAATAAAACTAAAATAAATTTATAATATATGCAAATAACGTATTAAATCACCCAAACTGCTTAAAAACAATACTACTTACTACTATTTGATATAATAAAAATAAAGTAAATCACACTTAAAGAATAACGATCGTTTTTACAGCTTTTATTTTCATTTTTTTTCCTATCCAGATTTTAAAATTCATGACTATCAAATTACTTCTTCTTTTTTCAATAGGAACATGAAGCGTTACCCATAATAAAGCTTGAGATTGTATCTTTCTCATGAGTGAGAAAAACTAAAGTCCATTTTGCTACAACATTTACATTAGGTCACACCTTTTTATAACTTGTCATATAATTTGTTCAGACTGCGCGATTATTTCCTAGATATAAAATAATTCGTAGATCAACAACAGACGAAATATTGCTGAGATTATTGTAATCAATACAAAAGAGCAACTGATATTTTAATAGACTACATACAGTATAACTATTGTTAGTAGCAAACTAGTAGGTCAAACAATTAAATAATTAAGTATTTATAAACTCCTACACACTTATAACAGCGTCTTTTTAATTAAAACGGAGGAATTCGTTAGATAGTAATTCTAACTAATATTACAATTACGAAATCTGAGTTTGATTGTTTGCTATCATTTCACGCCTTTGTAGATGCATTGTCTCTTCTGGAAGGATAGAAAAATTAGTTTTATATGATCGTCGGGGAAGTACCAGAGGATTATAAACGGAACCTGGTAGTAACCATATCTAAAAAGAGAGGCGCGAATAGGTGGGAGACATTTAGAACAATTAGCTTAACTTCCCATATGTCAAAAATCTTAAGTAGAATTGTACAGAGGAAAGTGGAAAAAGGGCGGAAGAACTATTAGGGGAAGATTAATTTGGGTTTAGAAGAAATAGGGGAACGCGGGAGGCCATTCTAGCTTTACAGTTTTCTGAGATAACGGGAAAAAAGGAAAGTGTGAGTACATAACATTTGTAGATTTAGAAAACGCTATTGACGATTTTAAATGGGACAAGATACTTAAAAATGTAGGGATGAGTTACAAAGATAGAAGAGTGATACTCAGTTTGTATAAAGAGCAACAGGCAGTTATAGAGGTAGGGCTGCAACGTAGAGAAATAAATATTAGGAAGTGAGTCAGTTAAGGATGCACATTGTTACCGCTACTTGTTAATCTATACATCGAAGACGCGATCAACATCATTAAAGAGAGTACAACTGTAGGGTTAGGTATACAGGGGCAAAAGATTGGTATGCTTAGCAGTATTAGCATCTAGCAAGCAGGAATTAGAGATAGCGGTATTGACAAAACAGTATTGAATAATGAAGATACCGTGGATAGAGAAAATTAGAAATGAAGAGGTATTAGAAGGAATAGGAGAACAGACTACCCTATAGAAGTCAATAAGAAGTAGGCGAGATAGGTTGGTACGACACCTTCTCAGGCATGAAGGTTTAGTCAGAGGCATATTAGAGGCATAAACAAGAGTTAAGAGAAGTAGACATAGACCTAGACTAGATTACTGTTCGCAAAAAGTTAAGGATGTGGGTTGTTCTAGTTTTGGGGAAATGCGAAGATTAGCTCAGGATATGAAAGTGTGAAGGTGCGTGTCCAACGAGTCGTAGTACTGACGTCCTTATGATGATTATAATATGATCGTCGATGATCTGTGACAAGTATTTAGAACATCAAAGTGAGCGAAGCCGCGGGTAAAACCTATCATGAAATTTTGTATACACTTTTTCATATGTACAGAAAAATACATGAAGTACCTTCTGTCCAGAAAAAAAAATTCTGTTCCGAAGGGATAGAAAAATTAGTTTCATATGGTCGTCCATGATTTTTGACACGTATTTAGGACATCAACGCAAGTCAAGCTGCTGGTAAAAACTAGTACATTGTGAACAACACTTTTTGTGCTTTATTAAGTATCCATAAACGTGTTCAGTTCTATCTTACGAGAAAAATGACGAAAAACCTAGTCATGTGACGCACTGGAGATATTTTGAAAAAGCGTATAGGTGCAGTAGAATCCCGCTAGTGTGAACGCAAACCCCGCATAATCTGAACAGCATATTGATTATGCTAAACGGCTGTATAGCGTAAACTTTCTTAGCTGTGTATGTAGAACTGTATATAAGTTTTTCTGTTTTATAATAAACTACTTATTTGTAGTGTGTAGTTAGACTTGTTTAAGATCAAAACTTGTGAATAATATTGTGCATAATTTGCAGCCCCTTACGTAAAGTTAATTGCTTTCATGGTAGACCTGAAGTTTGCCTAAAAGTCAAAATTTCAGAGTGTTTGGTATATGTCGAAAAAGTTAGGAATATAATTTATAGTTTTCCTGGAAATTTTTTTTTCAACTTTACCTCACATGCTAGGGTAGAATTAATTGTTGGTCATTTTATGTACTTAATACCGACAGGTACCACCGACGTGCATTTACGTATGTACATATTTACGATAAATAATAAATAAGTAATGATACACAAGCATTTGGACTTAATTTAGCAATGTTTATAGCGGAACATCTCCATTACGGTGTGTACATGGTGTGTACATAATCGAGGACCAAAGTCAAAAGTAGTAAGGGAAATGTATACCTTGAAGGTTATCTTCCATACTATGTAGCCGGTTAGTTTCATTGTTAATAACAACACCACTAACAACAACAACAGTAGAATAATTATTTTGTTTAGTTATTACAGTGATTAGGTGCTGGTCGACGTGACGTTAATAGACTTGCACTTTTTTGATATTACGGACACGTGATTACGATTTTTCTTCATAATTCTTAAATTGAGTGTGTTCCAAAAATGACTACAGATTAACAAGTATCTAATTGGTGCGTTTTTTAAACTAGTTAAAAGAAGGATTTGAGGGGTAAGATTTAGTAATTTTTATTACTTTTATCTATGAAAAAGTTATCGGTGTTAGATTACATATGAACAAATTTTGTCTACGTTTACAAACATTACAATCTTATTAAGAACTTTTTCGTTTTTTCTAACATTTTAGTTACTAAATAGTAGTCATTTGTTTCGATTTTTACTGTTCAATAATTTTCCGTATCAAATAAATAGTAATATGATTTTTAGTGCATTAAATAAAAATTTAATTATGCCATAAAATTTAATAAATGTGTAAATAATGAAATAATATAATAAGGAAATTAAAGCATAATGATCCATGTGCATGCAAATAAAATAAGGTAGTTATTACACGCACTTTAAACATATAGTAAGCAGTAATTTCTTGCATTTTATAGAATCGTAAAATTAAAAATAATTGAAAATTTACGATTATGTAACGTACTGATTTGTATCACATGTTACAACTGTTTAACTACAGAATTTTACAAAATTCCTATAAAATTTGTATTATTTATTTTTATTTCTTTATAGATCGGGTAGAAATTTATACTACCTAAAACAATTTTTTCAATGTTGTCATGAAATTATATTACCTGTAACTTTAGCTCATATATATATATAAAAAGTTAAGGAAAGTAGGAATAGAAAACTGTAGTACTTAATAATTTTCTTAAACCAGGGGGTTAGCCACCTCTTCTGCTTAGTTTTGGGCGCCGTTTATAATCCTTACACATCTTTTTGACCTACCTGAAAAGATTTTAAGAAGCCTATCAAATTAAGAACCAAAACTAAAGC